TCAGACTAGATTGAGGTAAAAGGGAGTTCACTGGTCTAAGATGAACTAAAAACTTGCACCTGACCTAAGGTCATTTTCTCCTGGTGCTCAAAGAAAGGGTCTCTGTATGGAAAAAAAATAGACCCACTTCATTTAAAATAGGAAATGATTCTCCGTTTTCAGACTCAGTGAAAGAATACAGCAGCAAATTGTTCACAATGAAAATAATGTTTTAAAAAACAGCATATGTGGTTGGGGTGTTAATATTTAAGTAGGACGTGTCTGCCCTGGAAGTTCAAACACTTCAAACCAAAGTGACAAAGTTTCACTAGGAAAGTGAAACCAAACCCTGAACTGAGCCAACATCCCCTGACCCAGGCTCCTTGACCCTCAATACTGCATGTCATTTTGGAGATGAACAGCACCACCTCCAACGTGGTAACAAAGCTTTCAAATTAAGCTCCTTTAAAGGCCCTCCCTTCAGATACTTGTTCTGTCTTTCAGAGACACGCCCTCTGAAGAAAGGAAATACTTCCTCTGTGTGGGAAAGGCTTCCCTTTGCAGCTCTGGTTGAGTTACAGTCTACCTTCTGAGCATGAGTCAAAACTAGTCAGAAGAATCCAGCAAAGTAGCTAAATAAGGAAAGTGATGAGATTGAAAAATCACAATTCAGGCTCTGAGAATCCACCAATTAGACTAAACAAGTGGGAACAGATAATCTATTATAGTGTCAACTAAAGAAAAACTAAGACTTTTAAAGAGTTAACGTTAGTTTTCTTTAGAAGTCTTCCTGAAGATTATAACCTGGGAGAATCTTTTAGAGAGTTTTTGTCAGACTACTCCAACACAGCATTTTAGTTTACAGGTTTTACACAGGCAATGAAGATTTAGTATGTGCAAAAAAAAAAAAAAATTTACATCAAAGCTTGAGTGTAAGAGTAAATCGAGTTACAGCTTGCAGGAGTGTAATTGCTAACCTTGGCAGGCATTATCTTATGTGTAAGAAAAGGCAAGGACTAGGGTCATTTATCTTTTTAAGGAGTATAGTGCCTCAGGCAAGAGATGTGGAGAGGTGTGTGCTCTATCTTGTTCACCATTTTAAGGCATTCTTCCAGAGAGCTGCATTTTGTAACAGAGTCAATGGGACTGCAAAATTATGCAGGTAAGCCAACATGGCTTCTTATATTTTCTCCCTTGTCTCACAATAGCAATTGAAAAGTAGATTGCTTGCTTCAGATTCTCAAAAGCTATTGTGGTAGGTAGCCTCCAAGATGGCTCCCTATGGCCCCAGCTTCCTGCTATTCACATCCTTGTGTAGTGTCCTCCTACAATGTGGTGGGGTTGGTCTGTGTGACCAACAGAAGATGGTAGAAATGATGGTATGTCACTTCTAATATTAGGTTATAGAAGACCATGGCTTTTTTCTTAATCACTCTTTCTCTCTCTGTCCCTCATTCTGGAAAAAGCCAGCTGCCATATTGGGAGGACACTCAAGGCAGGCTTGTGGAGAAGCCCACATGGTGAGGAACTGAAGTACCAGATCAAAAGCCATGTGAGTGAGCATAGAAGCCCTGATGACCCCAGCTCCAGCTGACACCTTGACTGCCACTTCATGAGATATCCTGAGCTAGAACCAGCCAGTTGAGTTGCTTCCTGATTCCTGACCTTTAGAAACTGTGTGAGATAATAAATGTTTATTGCTTTAAGTCACTAAGTTTTGAGGTAATTTGTTACATACCAGTAGATAAATAGAGCCACAGACACCACACTTTCTTCTTGCTGAGGAAACCTAGGGATAGCAGTAGAGTAGAGAGAGGGCTGACAGGGCCTGTCCTGAATCTAGATGGCCTGGACTCAACTGCCATTCTGGCAACTGGCTTTGTCACAAGACATTAGAGGAGTTTGGTAGACCTCAGGTTCTCTACAGTGCCACCCTGTGACCAAAGGAGAGTGAAGCAAAATGACTGCATCCCTTGGACATCCTATTGTGAAGAATACAGGGCTGGCCAGGAAAAAGAGGCTTGGCCCCTAGGCTCCTTCCCAGCACCTCCAAACTCCCACGAGACCATGGGAAAGTTTCATAATTTTTTTAGGCCCTTGTTTCTTTGTAAAATGGCTAAAGTACTACCTTCTTGTGTGGTTAAAGTGGGTAGAATAGATGTGAAAGGACATTGAAAGAAGAGTTCAACCTGCTGCACAACTTCTAGACAATACCATCATCATCATCTTCTAGATCATGATCACCACCACTTTCTACTCAGAGATGGAGTGTAAGGGTTTAGATTTTATATAGCAGTCCTTGCTATCAAACATGAGGTCATTTGGGGAGACTTAAAGGCTATACCACAAGTATAATATTCAAATTCAAATTCAAATATTCCCTGGGGCCAGGTAGATAGCATAAATGTGTGTTTCGGATTGGGGGATGGGGGGATACGGTGAGGCCATGGCAAACAAAAGAGTTCATGCTCTCCCTAAAAGAAATTTTAAAACATTGTTGAGGGCCAAGCAAACCAAGTCTGCCTACTGAATTTGATCCACCAAACACCAAGCTGTGATCAACCCCAATATCTACCACCATAAGTAATAAAACGCTAAGGATGGGGAGATTATATATATACTTACCATATCTTTTGCAGATGCTGGAAGGTTCGGTGAATAGGTCTTCCTCACACATACATTCATTCAACCCAGAAATGTTTATGGAATGCCCACTATAAGCTATATACTATGCTGCATAGCAATCTTGTAATACCAAATTTTATACCTCAAATCCTTCTATTTTATGCCCTTCCAAGTTTGGGTTATTTGTATCAGTACTGTATTTGCTGGTAAGGCAGATCCTCTATCTTAAGAAATGAGTTCCAGTCCCAAATTCACAAATAAAGAATTATTATAATAATAGCATATTCATGAAAAGCAAATTACTTATCTTGGCGTTTAACATCCTTGTAACTATTCCTGTACTTTTAATGTCAACAGAAAAAAAGTAATGTCTAAGTCTGGCTGATACGGTAAATTAATGTTAATAACAGTTTTGACACTAATAGCAAGTTTTAAAAGGAAAAACCTCCAGTCTCTAAACTGGGTTTCATTTCTTAAAAATCACCTCGGCTTGCTGTCATCAGACTTCCCAAGAACAATTCTAGCTACCATTTCGCCTTCAGTAGGAGCCTGAAACCACTAGGGTCTATAAAGTTTCTATGAAATTATATTTTTTTCCAGAAAACATCCACACCCCCCCCTCAGGATACAATACCAGGGCTTCTCAGTGCACACATTTCTGAATCCCTGTAAGCAAATGAATACCTACACGGTTTCACTAAAAACCACTGGCTGTTTCTTTAGAGCCTGAAAATTCATTGTGAAAATGCAAACTATTAAAATACGCTCTAGAGCAGGGGTCCTCAAATTTTTTAAACAGGGGGCCAGTTCACTGTCCCTCAGAGCATTGGAGGGCCATTGGAGAGTGCGGGGCACATTCCACACATGCGCACTGTGGGCCCGGAACGAGTCAGCTGCTAAGCAGGACAGGCAGCAGCGGCAAAAACACCTGGAGGGCTGGATAAATGTCCTCGGCAGGCTGCATGTGGCCCGCAGGCCATAGTTTGAGGACCCTTGCACTAAATTAAATAAGAAATTTCAGACTTGATGTCATAGAGACCTGAGAACGGGGTCTGCACTTTGTCTATCTTTGTGTTCTTCCATAGTGTCGTGCATAGACAAAAACACTAATAAATGTCCCATGAATTAAATTATCTGAGCTGAAAATTTTAATAGGCCTGGGGAAAATGAAAAGGAGGCCAGCCCCTGGCTCCTCCACTCTTGCCAGCTCTTTCTAGAAGTCATTGAGGGCTCATACAGCCCTTGCAAACCTTCCACCCTTCTCAGACTCAGCTGATAGGTCATAGTGGGCCAATAACACCCACCTCTATAATCACTTAGAGGTTGCTACATTTTAAGCAAAGCATCTCGTCCAACTTCCCAAATGTTGTTCTTTTTCTGTTACTGAGTGTTTTACTTTTAAATAATCCTATCATGAAGGAGCTCAAATAAACAGAGGCAGCAGTGACAACTCATCAATAAAATAATTAAGTCAAAGTAGATTTTGGTAGAGACTTCTCATATCATAATAGGAAGTCTAGGCTACTTTAAAATCAGGAACATCAAGTGGAATCATTTCTTTTTGTTTTAAAAGGAAAGTTATCTTTAAAAGTATCTCTTTCATAGAACCCTCATCAACTCCTCTGGCAATACTGGTTATTTATTTGGGAAGACCATTAAATACCAATGGAGTACAAGGTAGTTTCCAGAATTTTCCTTTCCCTTTCCATAGTTATCGTTCAAAGTTGTAGACAGAATTTAGGCAAGGAGACCCTCTACATTTTCTTTCTCAGTTTTAAGATTCAGATCCTGGCCTTAGTCCTCCAAGACTTGTGACTTATCCCAACATTTGCCATGGAAAAATGGGAAAATCAGGGCATGATGGGCACAAATGCAAGGCAAAGTCTTACTTCTTCTCTCTGTCTTCCAACCAGTGAAAAAACAGTGTTCACAGTCAGCAATAAAAACTGACTGAGGCAGCTACATGTCTCTGGATTCTCCTCCCCAAAATATAAATGCCAGTGTTTGGCCCAAGAGCCCATTGGCCTTGTCTTACAACACAAGCTCTGTGCTGCCACTGACCCACTTCACCTTTACTCCCAAACTTTGCATTGTCTCCAATTGGGAGACTGGGATGAGCTATTGAATCAACCCCTGTAACAATAGACATTCAATTACCAAATAGCTCCCAAGCTCTGGACAAGAAATAGAGACAGAGACCAGACCTGACTTCAGGTGCTATTGGGTGCTATATTGAAGGGTAAAGCAGAATAAGGAAGTGATATGGACTTGAAGTCATGCCCCAAGCAGACGCCACATAGTGGACTGAGATAAGGGGCACCCTTGAATGGCTCCATGAAAAGAAGGATAAACTGAGAACACCCATCATTGCAGGGCCAAGTGAAATAATTACATACCCATGCTCCATCAGGCCCAAACAGTTCTAGAAAGTTGCCAATGAATTCCCTTGACTTCTCTTCCCACTTTTGAATTAGATCGTGACTCTTTTCTTCCACCCTGTTCACAAATTCCTTTGATCTTTCCTCCACGTTCTTGACCTTTTCCTTCATCTTGTCTACCTGGTTCTGGAAACGGTACTTCTTCTCCTGGTCAAAATTTATAAGAGAAAGAGACAGATTTACCCAAGAGAGCACAAGAGAGATCAATCATTCACACTAACGGTCACATGTATTTCAACTTACGTTTGTTCCTCACCTAAAGAGTCAGGATGTTGCCATTTCCCAAGGGCTAGGTTGATGGGAAGGCACATTCCTTGTAAGAAAAGTAACTTGTGATTAATCCATTTGGATATATAAAGGAAAATACAAGTTGTTTTAATATTTTCTTGCTTTTAAATGTCTATGAGTTGAATTCACTTATATAAGAGAAGAATAAAAACTACATAGTTGTCTTTTATTATGGGTAGATATTGTGCAAATATCCCCGCTCAATTCTGCTGGGACATAAACAAAAGCATGAATTGTATGCAGAATGACTGTTCAGAGGCTGCCTGAGTTCTATGTTTTACTGGGACATCGTTAAAACCGATATTGCTTGAAGTAAGTGGGTCATTGACTGGGTCTTAGAACCCATGTGTTATACTAAAATTTTCACTGTAATGATATTTTTCACTAAGCTAATTGAATTGCCTCAGTTTCCTTGGTGAGAAAAGAGCTAGCTTTTGCTAGCTTTTCTTGACTTGGAATTTTTGTCTCCTTACAGCTTTTCTGTAGCAATGCTCTCTACCTGTGTGCCTGGAAGCCATCGTATGTTGGGAGAGTCTTGTGTTACCACTAAACCTCAGTTTCCTCATCTGTAAAATGGGCATAATAATTATCCCTACCTCATAGGGTTGCTTTGATAATTAGATAAGAAAATGTACACAGGCTTATGCCCATAATCCCAGCACTTTGCGGGCTGAGGTAGGAGGATTGCTTGAGGCCAAGGGTTCGAGAACAGCCTGGGCAACATAGCAAGACCCCATCTCTAAAAAAAATTTTAAAAATTTGCTAGGTATGGTGGTGTGTGCCTGTAGTCCCTTCTACTCAGGAGGCTGAGGTGGGAGGATGGCTTGAGCCTAGGAGTTTCAGGCTGCAGTGAGCTATGATCAGGCCAGTAAACTCCGGCCTGGACAACAGAGTGAGACCCTGTCTCAAAAAACAAGCAAACAAATAAAAAATAATGCACATAAAGTGCTTGGCATGAAACCTGGCATTTAATACATGCTTGATATGTGTTGGCTGTTTCATTAGTATTAAGTGGCATAGGCACTTATCTATGTTACCTGGTGGGAGTGATCAAAACTATGAAAATAATATGAGACCCAGGGTCTTCCCCCATGAAATCATATGTTCTCTCCTAAAGTGGAAATAAGGCTTATCATTTTCCTTTACTATGTGAGATTAAAGTTCATTTTGTATTTCAGAATTTTTTGAGACACCTGGAATATTGCAAACCTGGGTCAAGATTCCCTGATTTAGAGACCTTCCAAACCTCACTGCAGCCTCAGGGTATGGTGTGAGCTCTGCGTGCTGCCCCTGATCTATATAGACACACATATTTGCTATGGGAAGTCACTCCGTCTTCTGCGACTTACCATGTAACCTTAGGTGAGTTGTTCAACTTCTCTGGACCTCTGTTTCCTCATCTCTGTGTTAGATATAGTCGTTATTCCCACCCTCAGAGGCTCATTATAAGGATTAAATGAGATAATCCAAGTAAAAACTTAGAGGGGCACATGAGGTCTTGTTAGCTGTTGTCTTATAGCATTCTTTCCCCCAGTTCATTCTGCACTGGCAATAGTTACTACATACAGCTCTCAAGCCAGCACGCAATAGTAGGATGGGCACTGGACTGGGAGTCACGAGCCCAAGAGGCTGCACCCACCTGCACTTCTCCCTCATCTCATGGACCTTGGCCTGCTCCCCTCTCTAGGCTCAGCTTTCCTCATCTCTACATTGAAGAACGTGGACTGGGTGACTGACCCCCATCAGGACCCTGCCACCTCTGAGGTTCCGTGATTCATCTACACGCCCATCCAACGCATTCGATTTCATCTCTGAGCTGCGGCCAGGTTTGTGGTTGCAGGAAGGCAGGGAGCGCATCAGCACTGTCTGCACGGTTCCTTGAGCTAAGTGGCTGATCTAAAGGCTGTTTAAAGAGAGTGAGCAATAACTTTTGGAAATGGCTTGACATGCTTGGATGGTTGACTGAATTCAATTTAAAAGGACAGTTTAATTTATTGAAATAACCAGGGCTTTATTCTCTATAAGATACCAAATAATCACTTTGACTGAATTATGTTCAGCCACTTGTTCTGGTGCCACTCGAACCCGACATTTTCCATCCTGTTGCCCGGCTTGTATGAAGCCACAGAGCCTGCATTTCCAACACTCCCTGCCTCGTGAGGACAATTAATAGTCACCGATTTACAATTAATGATCCCCCTCCTATTTTGAAGGTACCAATGATCAATTGCATGAGCTGCTGGATAATTATGGCTAGACATAATTTTTAAGTATCTAGTTTTGTAGACAAATCACCCTTGGAAAATACAGTCTCTGTTTCAGGGGACTGGAATTCTGTATGTTTGGAGGGTTCTTGTTTGAATAAAAAAATGTCAGCCCCTCAGAGGCCAGGCAAATACAGTTGTCCAGAATCACTAACATCACCTCCAGCAACTGGGCTGCCCTCTTTGCTTTTTAACAGCTTGTTTTGCTTGTTTTAAAGATTGTTTTAACAATTGCTCTATTATTAAACTAACAGCAGCTCTGTGGGAACAATACGGTAGAACTACAGAAGGAAGCCAAAGACTTTAGACTTTATTTAAGCAGCTATAATTTCTTTGGACAAAAAAAAAAAACAAAAAAAAAAAAACAAAAAAAAAAACAAACGGCTGTTAAGGTTTCTAATGCACATCTGTAAGGCCTTAATAAAATGAAAATTTTAAAACGTGAAGACAAAAAAGTTTTCTCTGGGTTTAGCTTTTCATTGTCTCTGCCCTCCTTTCCATCCTTTGAGCAGAAGACAAGTCTTGCCTTTCACAAGGGGCAGATGTTCCAGAAACCCTTTAACCAAGTCTGAAAACTCTGAAGAGGGAGGTTGGGGAATGGGGAGGGAAGTAAGATTCTTTATAAAATGTGAAGCTCATTACTTGTGTTCTTTGGTTAACTTATGTTACCCTTTTGGACGTTGGTTTCCTCATCTGTATAATGGGGATAATAATACATCATTGGGTTGTTATGTGGATTAAATGAGACAATAAATGCAAAGCATTAAGAACACTGCATAGAACATAGTAATCCCTCAATAAACAGCAGCAGTGGTGGTGGTAGTGGTGTGACATGGTTGTCTTGAGAGGGTGTATGGTGGCACGCTTACATTTATAAAGCTGACATTCAGTTCCTTGGCTGTGTACCCTCTCTGGAGGTTGCGCCGAGCATAAACATCATAGTCACGGACAATTCTGGTGATAATATCTGATGTTGAGATGCCTTCTGTTCTCTGCGTTGGAACAAACATCCCTGTTCAGGTAGGAAAGAGGAGATAAAAAGGAAAAATTAAGATCGCCTTAGTTGACCCATTTCCTTTAATGCCCCTTCCTTTCTGTCCTGGAGACCCTATGCCTGCCCACATCGACTGCAGAGCGCCTCCTCATCCTGCAAGGTCCAGATTCAAGGTTATACCTCTGGGGAGTCTTTTCTGACATCACCAGGCAGAATGCACAACACTTAGGACATAACTTTTCTACCATGAACAAACATATTTTTAATATCTGCCTCCATGTAGAAAGTGGACATTTTGAAAGTATAGATGATGCCTTAATTGTCTTTGCAACCCCAGCACGCAGCTCAGTGCTCCTGTGTCTCTAGCACACAGAAGGTGCTCAATAAATGCAAATTGAGTGAGTGAGTGAATGAAGAATAACAACTGAGTCAATGAATTAGATCACGGCAACTTCTCTTCTTCCCCAAAGAAGTCTACATCACGTTATACTGAAGGAAAAGAAGAAAAAGTGTACTACTTTTGTTGTCTCTGATCTAAAGATGTGCCTATGGAGGTGCTAGATGATTTTATCTTTCTCTACTCTGCATGGTGGTTTCACCGCTCGAAGGACCTTTCAACTAGAATATGTGAGACCGAGTAAAAATAAATAACCATAGAGGATGTCAAGTTCTAATAGAACTTCCTCAAAGTCATCAAAGATATATTTGTGTGTATCACCCAATACAGGACTATAAACAAACAAGTCACAAATATTAACAAAGACAAGAATCGGGTTTATTCTCACAGTTCTGTGGTCAACTGAAATGACATGTGTTTGGCCACTGAGGTCTTTCTACCCAATATCATTAGGGCTACTTACATAGACATCAGGCATGGGATGGCATGATAGGCAGAGGCTAGGGACAAGGGCACTGGGCTCTCTATTTGCAGACTCAGGCAAATCACGCAAAGCCTCTGAAGGCAAGTTATTTAACCTTACTCTCCTCAGCTGAGAAAGAGGTGGCTGGACAAGGTGACCTGGGACTTCTCTGTGCCATTTACTGCTCCCTCACTCTCCATATCCAATCAAGTTTCCAATCTGCTTCTTATATGTTCCCCTAATTCACCCTCTTTTCTCCATCCTCTATCCTAAACCAATCCAATACCATCTTGTTCAGAGATCACAGCAAGAGCCTAAATACCAGTCTCTAATGATGTCATTTTGTCTGTTTCAACCCACAGAGCAAGATCCACAGAATGTTCTAGCCCAATGCAAGTCAGAGGCTGCTCAAAACCCTTCAGTAGCTTTCTGCTGTCTTCTGGACTTACAGTCAAATTCTTATCTTGGGTCTGCAGCAGCTCGCATGATCTTGGCCACACTGGACTTCTTCGATGTCCTGAAATTGCTGGCTCTTCTCCCCACACTCTGCCCCAGACACAATCTCTACCTGGTAACTCTTGGTTATCCATTGGGTTTCAGCTTTAGTGTCACTTCCTCAAGGAAATCTCTCAACCCCAAGAGTAGGTCTTCCCGTTTGTCATTGCCTCTCATGGGCCACTTTCTTTTCCTTCACATACTGCAAGATCTTTCTGAAATAACTTGTCCAATAACAGCCTTCCCCACTTGACTATAAGCCATATAAAGGAAGGGAACACACCTATCTTGTTCTTTTCTACATTCTCCGTACCAGTGACAGGCACTATAGGAATATTTGTTGAATGAATGACTAGATGAAGATTGATCTCTAAGTGCCCTTCCCAATCCAGTTCTCTCTGAATGTTTCTGTCTTGCAGCCCCAACCAGAGTGTCCCTTTGGAGCTTACTTTTGATAAGATGACTTGATCATCTACAAATTCACAGTCCCAGCAGCAGGGTGGCACTGCTGCTGTTAGAGACAAAACATCCTGTTACTAATGTTCTATGGCTCAGAGGACAGAGTTGGGATTTGCCACTAGGCCAAACACTCCTTTTTACCACTTTCTAGGAGGGCAGAATCTAACAGAGAAAACCAAATGGAAGGCAGAAGGTACAAACATCTAAACACATGGACATAAATAGCACCCAGGCTGAGCATGCTGTGTAGGGGGCTCTGGTGGGTGGGGGAACCCTGAGTGATTCCAAGCTGGGGGCCTGGGATGACATCCCCACCTTGATAGGAGCAGCAGGGAGCTTCATGGTGAGAAATCCATTTCATCTTTCAGCAGACAGATATTTTACCCACACCCCTGCTGCTGGAATATTAAGACAATCCTCTAGCTACTAATGGATTTTAGCAAGTCATTTAGACATTAGTGACATGAGCTCCCCCTTTCTTTAAAGCCAGAGGTGAGTGTTTTGAGTGTGTTTGAGTAACTGAAAGTAGATTTGGGCTTGGGGAGAGATTTGCTTTGGCTGGTTGGGAGGTAGGTCTCTGAAAAAAGCCAAGCCCTCTGTTGACATAATGAGGCACCCAGCTTCCTCCAAATCCTAATTATTGCTCTGCTAAAAATATTCAGTAATGAACATGATCAGAGAACCTTTTTTATCATGCTTTTTAGAATTGCAGCGTTTGGTTATGGAGCTATTTTAAGCAGCTGCAAAGCACATGTTAATGAAGGAAACTTTCAACAGTAGTAGGCAATATTAGAATGGTGATGAGTAATGTGGACCTTACAGTCTATTTAATTTAAGCTCCATCTTTTCATCCCGCTTTGCTAGAGGATTTTGACATGTTGTTCTAACAAGCAGAGCAGAGTGTTGTAAAGCTTAATTCATGCCCTTGATATCTCTAGTTTCATTTAATGTGATTTTTTACTTTCAAAATAAAGCACGATTAGAGCGTAAAGCCAAATGTGGATGCTCAGGCCTTTTCTGAGCATCTTTCTCCCATAGTGAACTCTGGCCTTCTATTCTTGGGCCCCAAAGAGAGCTTTACTGTGACTCTCCCTCCTGGTAAGGAATCAGCAGAGCATATGAATGGATCACAAGGAAAAGTCCTTGTGCGTATGAAAAGTCACACGTAGGCTTATGCCTGTGTTCCCAGGGCAAGTAAAATATAACCTGAGTATTCAATTTGGAAAGAGAATTGTGGTGGATTAAAGATGACCACAATTCCCTTCCCCTTGAATCTGGGCTGGCCTCGTTGACTTGCTTGTACCAAATAGAATGTCCCATAAGTGACCCACTGTGACTTCCAAGACTAGGTCAGAAGCCTTGCAGCTTCTTTCATGGTTGCTTGCTCTATATGGATACTCCCTCTCAGTTGTCATGCTGTGAGAGGCCCAAGCAACATGAAGAGGCCATGTCTGAGTGCCCCAGTGACAACCCAAACTGTGTTCCTTGATAACAGCCAGCATCCAAGGCCAGCCACATAAGGGTACCATTTGAGTGTCCCACCCCAGTTGAGCCTTCAGATGATTGCGGCCCCCACCAACATCTGACTGCAATTGTTTGAGAGATGCCAAAGAAGAACCACCCAGCCAAGCCCCTGCTAAAATCCTGCCCCATCAAATCATGAGCAAATGAAGTGGCTCTTTTATTTAAGTCACTAACTTTGGGAGTCACTTTCTTATTCAATAATAGGGATACTGGATTGCTGGAAAATGTTGGACCTATTCCTACATGTAAACAACTGGAACCTGACATGTTACTGCCTGAAATCAGGAAAGCAACTTATTCTTACCTCACTGGAGGCCACTCACCCAGAAAGAAAACCACTACCAAATGCTTGTTCCTACACTACCAGGTGGCTGAGGACCTATCGCCCCAGGAAACACTGTTTCAATTAACCCTGGAGGTAACTCAGCTGGACCAGAATCCCCGCTCTAGATCTTTGCTGCTCTAAGTGAGGTCTACAAACCTGCAGCATCTAACAACCTTGGAGCTCATTAGGAATGGGACTTTCAGGCCCCACCAGACTTACTGAATCTGAATCTGAATTTTCACAAGATTCCACAGACAATCTGTGGGAACATTTAAGTTTGACAAGCACTAGTGTATACCAGGTCCTTATGGCAATTTTAGGAAAGGAGCGGGTGGTTCACAGCTCAGATCTTACAAAGACTTAAAAAGGTATTAATCACCCCATGCCAGATCTATCTTGATGTAACTGAGGCATCAGTCAGTTTCTTCTCCCCCTCCCCCTGCTCTTCAACAGCCTTCCAAGTCTGAAGTGTATGGGGTTTCCTTTCTTAGAATGCCTAAAAAAAATAAGATTGGGACTTGAGAATGTCAAATGTCCCATTCTTATCCAATGTTCTTGACCTCTTAGGGAGCCCTTGTGAGAGGATGGTACAGTCCTGACCATCAGCCCTGCTAGGGTGGCATGGAGTTTCCCAGGCTTGCTTCTGAGGGGTGTGAACCAATAAAAGCACCATTGGGGAGAATAAGGACATTCTATGTAATAGAATAAGTTTCTGAACTATTATTCAATGCTGTTTTCACTTCTAGGAGGCATGTCCCTCCTAAGGCCCTGTTCCCACTAATACTGAGACCTCCATCACTTCATGGGGGAGGTCGATGTAGCTGAGAACACAGGAGACCATGTTCAGCCTTTGACTTCTAAGACAGGCTCCTTTTAAGGCTCGTTTGAAAAAGAAGAGTTATGCAAGGCAAGGATGTCACTGGGAAGATCCAGGCTTTGAGGAATACAAAAAGGGTGTTCTAAATCCCAGAAGTGTCACTTAAATTATTAAGAACCAGAGGCTGGGAAGACTCAGGGAACAGACTGCTTGACTGTAAGCCCTACAGTGGGAAGGCATGGAATGAACTAATGGGCAGTTTTCTGGCCTCCAGGAAGAAGAAAAGCCCCTCCTTGGGTTGAGGGAAGGAGCCCGGAGAGGGATCAGGAGGCAAGAAGCAGAAGTGAGAGAACAGGAGCAGATTCTCTTACTCAGGTTCAAATCCCAAGGGCAGCAGCAGGGGCAGGGAAGAAAGAGACCCCTTTAGAAAGCCCGGAGCAGGGAGGGCCAACACTCTGTTTAGTGCCAGGAACTTTGGGAAGAAATCATCTCACAGAGGTCAACGTGGGGAGGTCTCAGGAGAGCATTCCTCCTGGTGGGCAGGTCATGTGGGGCCTGACATGGGTTCCTCCTTCCACTGCCTGATTTCCTTTGCCCTCCAGTAGATTATGGAGGACATTCTAAAATTTCCTGGGGACTTATGAGAGGAACATGGAAGGCAGCTAGCTGAGGTTTAAGATCAGCATGACTGCTGGGTGGCACACATGTAGCACAGGAAAGGGAATTCTATAGCTGAGGCTGTGGCTGGGACAAGCCAAAGCAGAGGGTGGCTGGGGAACAGGTGAAGGAGGTGACTTTAGTGGTAGAGGCAGTGAGAGGGGTCTGCTAGGCAGGGGTGATGGCTGAGCAGGTCTTGATACCCTGTAACTAAAGATCAGCAAGAGCCAGATCCCTGTCCCATGCCAGGCCAACATACAGGCCCCAGAAACTTAGATCACCCCAGGAAACAAAAGCAAAAACTTTACACACTCTAAGTATAAACCTAGAAGAGTCTCAATTACTTCAAATGTCAAGCGTGGTTTTTTTCTGTCAGCTGTGGAAATGGGGGCTCCTGATTAAGTTCAGTTATGGAAACCACCCTCCCAGTTGCTCCTTCCCGCACAAGGAACCTGATCATGGCACTTGCCCTGCCTCAGAGCGGTGTCTGGCTCCATGTTACAAACAGAAGTTAAGTCAAAACCAACCCGCCCTGCCAGTCTCCATCTCTATCTTCATCTCTACACACCCTATACTACATTAACATTTTCATTTTCTCCAGGTATGCTGTGTTCCTTCATACTGTCCCACCTTTGGACAACTCCCCCCACCCCCAGCCTGCTGTGTATAGCCTACCACAGGCTTATCATATTTTGGTGTAATTATTTATGTCTGTCTCTGCTCTCTCTCAAGGATAAGCGCTGTGTCTGATTCATATTTGTAGCCCATTTTCCCTCAGACAATTCCTCGCTTGTAAATGCACTCAGGGGACTCATGGGTTAGCCAATGACAGTTAAAACCATCCAAAGATGAAAAAGGCTGCCTTGGGGGGCAGGGCGCTCCTCATCACAGGAGATTTAGAAGCATCAGTTCTACCGGGAGCTGGCAATGATGCCAAGAAAGGAGGAGGAGCCTGGGTTAGTGACACTTAGGAGCCCATCCTACCTTAAGAGTCTAAAGGTCCATGAGCATGAGGAAAAGGCTCTAGCAGCAGCAGGCTGAAAGTAGAGAAGGGTGGGAGCAAGCTAGGCAGAGTTCCAGTGGTCCCCAGGAGTGGGGAAGATGGCTCTGATGGCATGTGTCAACAATGGGAGCAGCTCTAGTATAATGTGAGGTACATTAGACTTCTTGAAATCCTTACGCCTATAGTAACTCACTGGAGTATCTGTACTTAATATATGTAGGAACGTATGCATAGATGCACCTACAGTGCCTACAGATGAGATGCATGGTAGATAGTAATATAGCAGAAAATAAGCTAAGTCATTACAATGTTTATCCATTCCTTTTTTACCTCTGCATATGGTACCTGGCAATATTACTCTCGCATAACAGGATGACGCTAGAAATATGGCAGGACCAACTTTGGAGACAAGGAGTTCAGATTGTTAATTAGCTGGTCATCTGTCAGTTTCTGGAAGGAAATTTCTTGGGAGTATGAAATAACTTCAGTATGGGGACTTAATTATGAATGGGGAAAATGACTGCCCTTAAAGCCATAGGGGCCTGTGATTTTAGTCTGATGAGCCCTAAAAATCAAGCCTCAGACCTGAAGTTGAGTACTTTGGTGCTCAGGTTAATTCCTGTTGAAATACCTAAATGGTGTCTGTGCTATGACTGACCTTAGCACATGTCAACAGAGGCCTGTAGGAGCTTCTTGGGAGACACCTGATGATGTTCCAGCTCCCTCTATGTATATGGTACAGATGCCTCTTATAACACCTGATTACTGTGACGTGGCAGACAGGTGAACACAGGGGAATGCCTCACCTGCTTCCTTTATATGCTTGTAGACATCATCAGAGCCAGCAGAAGAATACGGAATGTCATCATGAGCCACAAAGTCAATCTGTTGAAGAAAGAGAACAGAGACATCACCACTGGGATGGATGTGCACGTCTGCAGATTTGAAGGGGACTGGTGATCCCAAAATGCCTTTTCGAAATAAGGCAGTTGCATGTTATATTTATTTATAGTATGGATACAAATCCTTAGCTGAAAGGCATCTCCAACTGTCTCCATTTCCATGAGAGAGTGGGAACTAGAAGAATAAATGTTTGGTTTTTCTCCTTTGCTGGTCCCTCTTTCTTCTCCTACCTCTGACAGTAGGTTTTCTTGGCCTTCAGTCCTTTTGCCTCTAAACTTTCTTTGGAGAGAATGCATTCATTCTTTGGATTTTAATCCCTCCTGCTATGATAAGAAACTCAAAACTCCATTTCCTATCCCATTTATAGCAATATGCCCTCACACTTAGGTTGTGGGGTTTTTTGTTTGTCTGTTTTGTTTTGTTTTGTTTGAGACAGGGTCTCACTCTGCCACCCTGGTTGGAGTGCAATGGTATGATCATAGCTCTCACTGCAGCCTTGAACTCCAGGGCTCAAGCAATCCTCCTGCCTTAGCCTCCTGAGTAGGTGGGACTACCGGTACATGCTCCCATGTCTGGCTAAACTTTTAAAAAAAATTTTGTAGGAACAGGGTCTTTCTATGTTGCCCAGGCTGGTCTTGAACTCCTGGCCTCAAGCAATCCTCCCACCTCAGCCTCCCAAAGTGCTAGGATTACAGGTGTAAGCCAGCACTCCCAGCCTAGGTTGTATTTTATACTGTGAAAACGTATTTATCTCTTTTCTCATTTGATCCTCATAACCACCTTGTGAAGTGGGTAGGAAATATATTAATACCTCATTTGGGGCATAAGGTGCTGAAACTAGACAACTTGTTAGATCTGCCCAAAGTCACACAGCTTGCTAGTAGTTTGAAGATGAATGTAGGCTGCCAGGGAACCCGGCCAGGCTTTCTGAACTCCCACTGCAGCCCTCTTCTCTTTCATCACTTCTTGCTATCACTTTAAAATCAACCTGTCCTGTTGACATTTGGAAGCTGAGAAATAAAAAGCTGTCCAAGAGAAATATATAGGAAAAGTTATTTTGACTAGAATACATTTTAAATGTTCAAAATCAGGTTGCTTTGTATTCAAGAAAATAGGTCTTTAGTGTTTTAAAGTGCATGTAGTGTGTGTGTGTGTGTGTGTCATTGTGAGTGTATGTGTTGGTTTTGTTTTGTCTCCATGAAACTTAATGACAACTAAGAAATACATGGAAAGCTCATAAGATTACATTTAATATGTGCTTAGTATGAGAGTTCTTACTACATCATGTAACTTAGAACCCACTGATTTTTCTGAAGGCTTCTCTGTTAGCATAAATTATGTTAGAAGTTGTGAGGGTAAGGGAAGCGTAGGCCATTAATCACATCATCTCAGGTTGCAGAGGTCATATGTTAAACATATTTCCATTTGCCTTTAGTTGAGCACCTGCTAATCTTCTTGGGAGGCAATTAAATATTTGCCCGAGAATTGACATGGCTCAGAATCTTTGAGTCAATGGTGTGCATGTGCTCCTCCCTCAACTGATACAACTAAGAACTGATGTGGTGTTTCTACTGAGAGGCCAGTGGCACCTCTGGAAAAGTTAAACAGGTTGTAGGTACCAGGATATTGACATGATTATGCTAAGATACTACTCTTATCCAGTTTTGAAATCTCAGGCTTCCCTTTTTTTTTTTTACATTTAAATAAACTTTCTGACCATTTATAAAATTCAAAAAAATAAAAGTTAAAAAAAAAATCAACCTGTCCTGAATTTAATTCAACCTGCTGAAAACTGGTGCCTGCCCTCTCAACCTAGGGCATCTTTGTTTTCGAAATTTACCTAGACCCCAAACCTTGGAATTGGCCTTCTTTCCTTACTTCTTTCACTCATCATAACACACAGGTCACAGGTTCCATTGAGGGGTGTGTGTGTGTGTGTGTGTGTGTGTGTGTGTGTGCACTTGTGTATGTGTGGACTTCCTCACTGTAGGTTCTCCCCTCTGCAAGCCATCTTGCTGTTGCTTGGGGTGTCCTCCTTAAACAGAGTTTTCTTCTGGTCATCCTTATGCTTGCTAATCTTCATCCATTTCCTAAGACATCAGGTAAACACTCCTTGCCTAGCTTTCAAAGGCCTTTACAATGGGGCCTCACTCTATCTTGAAAGAAAGGTAATTTAGAGCGGTGATTTAATTTGCCTGGCTGTGATTCCCTTCCCTACTGCTAATACTTGCTAGCTATGTAACTCATAAGTTGATAGTAAAGATTCGATCAGGATTTCTCAACCTCAGTACTAGTGACATTTGGAACTGCATAGTTCTTTGATGTGGAGGGACTGTCCTGTGCATTAGAGGATGCTTAGCAGCATCCCTGGCTTTTACCCACTAGATGCCAGTAGCATCCCTCTAGCTGTGACAACCAACTATGTCTCCAGACATTGCCAAATGTTTCCTGGGGGCAAACTCGCCCTCAGTTGAGAATCACTGGATTAAATGATACGATTAGGTAAGAGTGCTTAAAAATGATAACTAGCACACAGCAGGTACTCAATAAATGTTTGTCATTATTATTATTAATCTATTTGCAGTATTCAAACTTAGTTCTTCCTCCTCTTCAATGTATAACAACAACAGCAACTCAGGGTAGCCATGAGATTGAATTTGATTCAAATAATAAATAGCAAAGCCCTTAGCACAGTGCTAGGCACATGGTAAATACTCCAGTGAATGGCAGCCATCATTATCATTATTAGTACCCACCATAATGCCCAGCACATGTTGAATATACAATAGATACTTAGTAAAAATGTGGTAGTGATTACTGGAAGTAAATCATATTGTAGTTTTTCCTTTTTCTTTCTTATTCTTGCTGGGAAATTGTCTCCTCTGCTATTACCCATGCACATTTATCAGTGTTCTGTATTCTCTTCTGCATCGTGAATTTAAAAATAGAAAAGAAAATTCTTAGAACAGCTTAATCTTATTTTTTTTTGTACTGCTTATAAAAGGAAAGAATAGCTCCTAATGCGGGGATGGTAGAGAGATACAAAGCACATAATTTGATGCAGATCAAAAGAATTTCTCGTGTTTTCAACTAATAAAAATCTTGTGTCAGTAGGAGTCTCAGGGTCACAAAATCATAGATATAAAGTTCTTTCCTTAAAGGCTAGCCCCTGACCTTCTGGATAAGATGTGTGTTCATTTGTTCCATGGAAAAACATGCCTGTGAATCTATAAGCACCAATAATCATGGTGCTGATGGTCATGATAATAACATTTTTGGAGCTCTTGCTATGAGCCAGCCAGTATTCCAAGTGCTTTACTTAGATTACCTCTATGGCCCCACGAAGAAGAAACTAATATCATCCCATTTCACAGTTGAGATAAGTGAGTCCAATGGGGTTAAATATCTTACTCAAGGTCCCACAGTTAGGAAGAGATAGAGGCAGGATTTGGACCTAGATGGTCTAGCTCCAGTGCCCACCCTTGAGGAAGTGAGGGGATCCCAGTCCCCAGGCTTGGGTGGAAGAAAGGTCCTGCAACAAGAGATACCATGAGATGGTTCCTTTTTTAGAAAAAAAAAAAAGCTCCCTTTTTTAGAAACTGGAAGAGTCTTTGGGCTTTCTGCAGTCTCAGCTGCAGAACCAGACTCCCTAATAATACTGCTACTTAGAGAACGTGGGAGAATGAGAAGTACCTTGTGTTTTTCCAGAAACTCTGGAGTCAGTGTCCACGGAGCATCTCTGATTACTTCATCCACATAGCGACAGTGTCTGAGAGCCTCGTATCTCTCTGCTTCATTCATCACGGTGAAACCTTTGAATTTGTGGGTGAGATCATCACTGCAAACTGAAACAGGCAAATGCATTAAATGCTGTTACCGGGTCCAGGCCCTGTTCGCAGCCACCCTGGTGCAGAAATGGCTTCTTCAGCAAGACAAAAGGAGCACAGCCTTGCTAGGTGCTTGGCATAATCAAACTCAGTTTGTTACAGGAACAAAGGATCAGGAGAGTGAAGCAAGCTGAAATCCACTGGCAATTCAGAATTTCATTTCAGTGCTAATTACATCTGCATTCTCCACTGAGGCTTTTATTAAAATTATTCTCCACTCTACCTAATATGACTTTCATATCTTTTTATTTTCCTATCCCAGCTCTCAGTGAAAATTACTATTCAGAAAGAAAATGACCAAATGAACAGAGAAAAGAGAGAGAAGGAGAGGAACCAAGAGGCCTGAATTATAGCAGGTTTGAGCAATCAGTTCCAATTCTTTTACTAGTTCATTGTACTTAACAACCCAAGTGTGATTCTCTCGCACACAAACACACACACACACACACACTTCTGTTCCCTGGATTGAGGTCCAGTCACTGCACATTAGGTCACACAATTAAGAGGAGAAAGTCATAAAATAGAAGGTCTGATCTAGCAGAGCTCATCCTTCCTATTAACATATCTCTTATCGTTTCTAGATTTTAGGTTCCTGAACTCTCAAATGGGGATTCAAATATCCACTCTCAGCCTTAGAAAGGGTTTTTTAAGAATTTACATGAAAATGTTTTAAAATAAACTGAACAATAAATATTATTCTCCATCCTATCTTTTGGTTGGCCGATGCAGCTCTCCTAAAGTTTTCTATATGTCAGAAAGAAATGTCACTGTGGGTACAGTTCCTGTTTAATCAAGATTTAGGTGAGGGTCTTGCTGCAGCCAGTCAGTACTACCCTGACTGCTCACTGCAACGAGATTTTTTTTCTTTCTTCTTTTTTGATTTATTGTAATTGCTTTTTTGAAATTTCAGAATATTACAGGGATACAAACGTTTTAGTTACATAAACTGCTTTTGTATCGCTTGGATCAAAGTTGTAAGTGTGCCCATCCCCCAGATAGTGTGCATTGTACACACTAGCGTAGTGTGAATTTACACATCCCCTCCTCCCCCTCCCACCTGCTTGATTTCCAGTGAATATTATTTCTATATGTGCACATAAGTGTTGATCGATTAGTTCCATGGAATACTACTTAGCCACGAAAAATGGTGAACTAATACCTCCTATATTAACCTGGATGGGACTGGAGACCATTCTTCTAAGTGAAGTAGCACAAGAATGGAAAAACAAACACCACATGTACTCACCATTAAATTGGAACTAATCAAGATACTTTTTCTTTAAGGTATTATGTACACACAATAAATTCACTAATTTTAAGTGTACAAGGTGTGGCTTTTAAATTTAAAAAAAATTAATTGACAGATAATAATTGTACATATTTATCGGGTAAAATGTGATGTTTTGATACATGTATACATTGTATAACAATCAAATCCAGGTATTTAGCAATCTATCACCTCATACCTTTATCATTTCTTCATGGTAAGAACATTCGAAATCCTCTCTTCTAGCTATTTTGAAATATACAATACAATATTATTAACTATAGTCACCCTACTGTGCAATAAAACACTGTAACTTATTCCTCCTATCTAACTATGACCTTGTACCTGTTGACCAAACTCTTCTTGTCCCCTTCTCCCTCCCCTCCCCAGTCTCTGGTAACCACTGTTCTACTTTACTTCTATGCAATCGGCTTCTTTAGATTCCATATGTGAGTGACATATATACACAATGGAATACTATTCAGCCATAAAAAAGAATGAAATCCTGTCATTTGCAGCAACATGGCTGGACCTGAAGTATATTATGTTAAGTGAAATAAGCCAGAGACAGAAAGACAAATACCACATGATCTCACAAGATGTTTTTTGTTTGTTTGTTTGTTTTTTGAGACAGAGTCTCGCTTTGTTGCCCAGGCTAGAGGGAGTGCCGTGGCGTCAGCCTAGCTCACAGCAACCTCAAACTCCTGAGCTCAAGCAATCCTGCTGCCTCAGCCTCCCGAGTAGCTGAGACTACAGGCATGCACCCCCATGCCCAGCTAATTTTTTCTATATATATTAGTTGGCCAATTAATTTCTTTCTATTTATAGTAGAGACAAGGTCTCGCTCTTGCTCAGGCTGGTTTCGAACTCCTGACCTCGAGCAATCCGCCTGCCTCGGCCTCCCAGAGTGCTAGGATTACAGGCGTGAGCCACAGCGCCCGGCCACAAGATGTGCTTTAAAAAGAAAAATATGATTATTTTCTTGGAACCAAATAACGGCCCACATCTAGAACCAAATCTGACTACAGAGTAAGCGTGGCCAATGAGCACTCAGCATCCTTGGAAAACCACTATTGCAGCCCCTTCACACACTCTGCCTTCAGACCATCAGCAAAACTGCAGGCTCTGCCTTCAAAGTGCACCCAGAATCCTTGTCACCACCTCCACTGCTCCCACTCTGGCTCCTTCACCACCCCTCCTGCAGTTACTGCAGTGGGCTCCTAACCCATCTCCCGATTCCAGCCTTTCCCACTCACAGCAACCTGTTGTCATCAGCCAGAATGAGCCTGGTAAAACCTGTCAGGTTAAAGGTTAAACCACAGGTTAAAGCCTGTGTCATTCCCAGACTCAGAATCCTTCCCATCTCCTTCAAAATAAAAGCCAAAGTCCTCCAGTGGGCCCCTAAACCCCACACCTCTGCCTACGCCTTGCCTCTCTGGCCCATCTCCTACTGTGTTCCAGCCCCCAGCCTCCCTGTGGTTTCCTGAAGCCACCACAAAGTCGCCTCCTCAAAGACTCACTCCCTCCCTTCCCTCAAATCTCCCTCCCATCCTATTCTGAATTGCAATCCCCTCCAGCTTGACTTCTCCTCATGGCACTCATTCTCATATAATTGTCTTATTTAATTTTATTGTTGAGACCTGGCATGGTGGCTCATGCCTATAATCCTAGCACTCTGGGAGGCCGAGGCGGGAGGATCGTTTGAGCTCAGGAGTTCAAGACCAGCCTGAGCAAGAGCGAGACCCTGTCTCTACTAAAAATAGAAAGAAATTAATTGGTCAACTAAAAATATATAGAAAAAATTAGCTGGGCATGGTGGCGCATGCCTGTAGTCCCAGCTACTCGGGAGGCTGAGGCAGGAGGATCGCTTGAGCCCAGGAGTTTGAGGTTGCTGCGAGCTAGGCTGACGCCAGGGCAACAGAGTGAGACTCTGTCTCAAAAATAAATAAATAATAATAAAAAAAATTATCGCTGGTGTTGCCCTGTAAGCTCCCTGAGGACAGGGAGGGACTTCTGTTTCATTTTCTGATGAACAATACCTGGCCCCTAATAGGCTCTGAACAAGTATTTGTTGAATGAATTAACGGAGCCTGATACATACAGATGTTCAACAAATGTTTATGATTATTTGCAATAGATGTATATTTATCTGCAGGTACATTTCAACAACATCCATGCAAATAAGAGGCTAATGAGTTTCAAGATAAATATGTATATGTCTATATATCTCTATACATACTTCCTGAGATGTTTTCTATTGCAGCATTTCACGTCAACAAAACATCAACCACGTGGCTGCCTTGAAAACTGATGCATGTCAGAATCACCCAAGGATCTTGTTAAATACATACAAAGAAGCCCAGCCCACTCCCTGAGATTTTGATTCAGTGGATCTGTGGTGGGGCCCAGGCAGGTCTATTTTTGACAAGTTTCAGAGAGGATTCTGATGCATACAACATTTGAACACCCCTGAAACATACTATAAGCAACTTGAGTAAAGAGCCCTGCCTGTCTTTGAATCACCCATCCTGCCCAGAGGTGGGGGGTGGGGTAGGTAGTAGGGCCATAATAACTATGTATTGATTTACTGACTGCATTGGCTTTTGGCCTTATAAATAGGAATTATTTATGGACCATGGTATATGATTCAAAAACTGATCTAAGACTTTTAGGGCTTTATTAAAATACTACCTCAAGAATCATATTAAGCAGAAATGGATTTCAGATCCATAATTTTTTTTATTTTAAACAGTATAAAAGTACGCTGGGCCATATCCTCCCTTTTTTTGCACCTGCACCTGAGCAATTTGGTGTAATTTCTGAATGACCAAGATAATGGCCTGCTGATAGAGCACAAAGGAAAACAAACATCCTGTTTATGGCAATACAGGGTCCTATTTTCATATCCCAGGAGTGACCTCAAGAAGCAGCTGAACATGCTGACCAGTTATTGTCTAAACATTAATTACACCCAAAGCAGCACTGTTGTTCTTGAGTCTTGGCAAATGCACTGTGACAACCAGATGGAGAACTCTGAGCAGTGGTATTCCATGGATGAATTCATTGAGCTATCTGGGAACTCATGCTTGCAGCTAACCTATCCTGGCAGCTCACTGTGCTCAAAATGAAAAACTCCACAGGAGAGAAAATATAAAGTAGGGTTGAACTTGGGAGTCCAACAAACTTGGGTTCTAATCCAAGCTCTGCTACTTATTACTTGGAAAGTTACTCAAACTCTCTAAGCCTCTCGTGCCTGGTCTTTAAAATGTGTATTTTTGAGAATTAAATTTGATAATCCACATGAGCAGAAAGTAATGCTCGAGAATGTTAGCCACTTATTAATAGTAGTAGTAAAACAGGCTCATTTATGGAGTTATTCCTTTGGATTTTGTGCTCTTTTCCCCGCCCCCACTTCAAGCAGGTGTCCAGGCCTCTTGGTACAAACTCCCTTGCACAAGCTGTGAGCTCAAGTTGTTGATAGACAGCCTGCCTTCCTGGCTGCTGTTTTCCTGAAGTCAGAGCAACTTGGGGGGATTCTGTGAGAAAGAAGACAATGAGAGAGGAGATTCCTCCAAATTGTGAGGAAAAGGCCAAATGTTTGTGGGTCCCACAAGCAGCGGGGGCCTATGGCGGAATCTCAAGAGGGTTGAGGACATGAAGCCCTAGGCACGGGGGTTCCACATGGGCACAG